AGCTTCTCTGTGGAACTCTCTCCCTATCGAGTTAAAATCATCTCCTTCCCTAAGTACATTCAAAACACGACTAAAGACTCACCTATTTCTTGGCTACAAGTGACTTCCAATCATCCGTACCTGCCAACTGTATATAGTTTTAATTTGAGCTCAGGAAGCTTTGAGCATATCCCTGTGACGTGGAAAGGCGCTATATAAATGGCCTATTATTATTATTATTATTATTATTATCTTGCGTAGGTTCTAGGTCCGACTTGAGTAGATTTACTAACCATCCTAGCTGTGTTAGTAGCTTGATGATGAAGTTTAACTGTAGTTTGAGACGCTGTGGATCTTGATCTACTTGAATCCCGTCGTCAAGGTAGAACGCACTGCGTAGCCCTAGACGATGTAGGTAAGTGACGATAGGTTTCGTTACTCTAGTGAATAACCAGGGGGCCGATGATATTCCAAATGTGAGTACTCTCCATTGATAATGCAGCCCATCTAGTGTAAACCGCAGGTATTTCCTGGATTCGGGATATGTAGATAAACATCCTGCAGATCTATACTGGCCATGTAGTCCATGGGTCGAACTAGGTGCAGTAGATGTATCATGCGAAACGTTAGCGGTTTACGTAGATAATCTCTGTTGAACGTGCTCATGTTGTAAATGAGTCTGAACTTTTCCTTGGAGTTTTTCTTGGGCACTAGGAAAACTGGGGAGTAGAAGCCTGGTTCGATGTTTACTTGATCCAGTACTTCTATGGCCTGCTTGGTTAGGAGAGATGAAACAGCTTCTTGTAACTTTGGTAGTTGTTGCGCCTGGAAGTCGAACTTGTGAGGGTTGACTGTAAGCGGAGGCGTGGCCTGTAGTTGGATTCGATATCCGTGTTGTAGGATGTTGGAGACATATGGGTCTTGTAGAATTCCCCAGTTCTCCCAGTGAAGTTGAAGGCGTCCACCCACTTGTGATGGTTGTACTGGAACGGCTGGGGGTGGAAGACTCCAGTCGTTCCGAACCCGTCTTTCATCATTTATAGTTGCGGGAACCTCTGGGTGCCCTGCCTCTTCCAGATCCTCCTCTGTAGTTGCCGTATGGGCGACGAAAAGAATCTTTTCCTCTTGAACTGGCCATCTTCCTGTCCCATGCTTTCTGTAAGCCAGTAAACTTTGATCTTCATGAATATCTCTGTGATGTCTGCCTGATGACGCTAGCTAGCGTGTCCATTGACTTTATCATAAGGACTTCCCTTGAATCCTTGGTGACTTCTTTAGAGACTTTATCTATTCCTCCATCGAAGAAAGATGGTGTAGACCACGGGGCTGTGTAGAGTGGAGATGTAAACTGTTCACCCCAACTACAGGAAGCGAGGAGACCTTGACGACGAGCCAGAGTTAGCGCTGCGGAGACTGATGTAAGATGATCCGTTAAAAACTGCTGGTCCTTCTTCTGCATAAGGAGGGCCGAGTATATCATTCTGTCATCTTCTGATGTAGAATCTCGAAATCTGGTGATGAGAGTTTCATTAATCGTTCTTGATCTGTTAAGGCCGAAGAACATTCTCCTTGTCATGGTTTCGATCTGAACCAGCTTGCGGTCGTCTATCTTGTAGGTCTTATTCTTGGCATCGTTGATTACTTTGAAGTTATCGTCGATTTCTTGTGCCTTGAAAAATGGGTCCATATTATGGGTTGAGAACTTTTTGGCGTTGAACTGTGGTAAGTGCGGCGCCTGAGCTTCAGTGGCTTTATGGAAGGCTGTGTCCAGATTCTGGGGGACCGCTGCTATCGGGTCGATCGGAGGTAGGGTGATGGTGTCTGCATCGTCCTCCCTCATGAGATAAGTGTGGGCCGGGTTACCGTTCTTGGAAGGTGAAGCTAGGTCCAGGTTGTTAACCATCCAGTAGCGTATTTCTCCCTCGGAGAATATGATGCCTCCATCATCTTCTGTAACGGGATCGCTAATAAGAGGTTGATGCTCTTCCGATGGTGACTGAGGTGGAGACCTGTATACTTCTACAGCTGTGCAGGGTGACGTCAACGGAGACCTGTCTGGGGACTTTCGTGAAGACTTGTGAGGCGAACGGTGTGGTGACCTGCGAGGAGATCGACGTGGTGACCTGTGAGGAGATCGGCGAGGTGAACGACGAGGTGATCGATGTGGAGAACGGCGAGGAGATCATCGTGGAGAACAGCCTGATGAGCTGCGTCTATATGGTGACCTTCGCGGAGATCTATGTGGTGAACGCTGATAGCTTCGCGAAGCTCTTGGGGAATCCCTCGATGACCTTCTAGACGAAGATGACTTGGAGCCTGTAACTGGTGCCCTTCGCGAAGCTTCATCTGAGTCCGGTCCTGGGGAGTGACGACTTGACCTTCGCTAAGGCTGGGGGTCCGAGTCAGAGTCCGGGGATGAGAGGATCTTCCTTCGCGAACCTCTTCGTGAGTGTTGATCATCGGAGTCCGAGGTAGGTGACGTTCTAGATGTCCTTCGCGAAGTCCTTCGCGAACGCTGAACATCTGGGTCCTTCGCAGATGTGGGCTGTGACGTCCTTCACGCAGGTGGGTTCCCCAGCGATGACTTGGTAGCAGCCGCTACGTTGACAGGGGGTCCCTCTGGGGTGACGTCTACGTTGGAGCCTTCGCGAAGGCTCAGGCTTTGGGCTGGTTGTCTCTCCAGTCCATAGCGGTCTTCCATCATCTTCATAATCTGAAGAACCAAGTCGTCTGGGACGGTCTGCGAAGATGTAGTTGGTGCCCTATCTGCGTTGGTAGCGACGGGACCCTCAGGAAGATCGTCAGACATCAGCGTTGGTACATCAGGCTGCGTGTAGATCTGCGCTGACGTCACTGTTGCCGACACCGGTCGCTTTCTTGTGATCGCATATCAAGTATGATGATCGGCTGATCATCATACAGGCCCAGTTCTGGCGGCGGGAACAACAATCTCGGCTGAGAAAGTCCTAGTAGACTTCGTCGATTTCCCCTTGGAGGTAGACGCTGCCCTGGGGGTACGGAGTCTGCGTTGAGTTGAAGTAGAAGCCCTCTTAGTCTTTGGCTGCGACGACGGGATGTCTGGGGATGCAGGACGCTTCTTGGAGACGGCGGACTGCGTCCCACGCCTCTCCTCCTCGGGTAACTCTAGCGGAACACCAGACGGGAGGGGGTCGTCCGACAGCAGTTGACTGGCGAGGGGTTCCTATGTATCGGCCATGGCTAGACTCTGTTTACGTGACCTATCTGCTGCGTGTCTCAAGACGCAAAGATAATATTTGTTAAAAGCAGAATTAGACAAATTATTACAGTAACTGCAACGTGAAGAAAATGCACATGGTGCAGTACAGCTAGGGCAGCAGCAGAAAAACGTAACCTGCAAACAGTACAGATTTTCATCAACGTAAACTGCTGAACAATCACTGCGTCCCGTGAATAAACAGCATAAATACGAATAAATATCAATACATAATTGTTGAAGGATACTAGCTAAACCTCTATTGATGACTATAAGAGGTAACTAACTAAGAATAATCAAAGGATATAGTGTGTAGGGAGACACAGGCGCTCTCACATCCTGCTCACTGGGCGAAGAAGGAGAGAGTGAAGCATGAGGGAAGAGGTGGCGCCTCCTTTCCTGCGCATTTTGGAAGAGGGAGGCAACTCTTGGTGAGTACTAATTAGTAATTTTACATTGAAGGGAGCTTCAATTAGGGAGATACAAGTGTTCCACTATGTTCGCAAGAAGAAGAAGACAAGCAAAAGAGCATGAGTCAGGATAGGTATAAAATATCAATTTTATTCAGAAAATTACATAATTTTAGGCCTTTACCACTAATATTGAGCTATATACGGCATTTAGGAAGATATAGTGCAAAAGAGCATGAGTCAGGATAAGGAAAAATAAAAGGATATAGTGCCATATTGGGGATCCAGGCACTCTCACAACCGTCCTCTAGGGCGAAGAAGGAGAGTGACAAGCATGGCTGGTCAGGTGACCAATAAGGGCTCAAAAGGGCAAAGGGAGGCTACTCGTGGGGTGAGTGATTTTACGTCCTCTATTTTGAAGGGAGCTTCAAAAGGGGATTCAAGTGTTCCACTATCATTCGCAAGAAGAAGGAGACAAGCGATACAGCATGAGTCAGGATAAGGAAAAATGTTTCATATTTCACTCATCTTTTAAAGACGGACAGTGACCCCTTGCTGTGCAGGGTTAGGGTTGTACATTTAGTATATCTGATGCTAACATCAACATGCTGAACATTTTGTTCTATATAGAGGGGGTGATATTTCTTTAGCATTTTTGCTATCAATGTCAACACTTTAACTTTAAATTTATCTGTTTTATAGGGAACATTTGTTGTCCTAACTTCTGTATTATAACAAAAAGCTTACAAGATTGTAGTAATCATATACCATTTTGTGCTATCACCAACCCCAAACATCATAAGTCACTGAAGTAATGAGATTGAATTTTGTAGTGAATATTACTTTAATATATATAAGAAATAATTTTTCAGAAAATGTACATTCATGAATAAGTAAAATTTGAAATTTCATATATATTTATCAAGTGAGTCTGTCTTTAGTCTTCAAAATATGTAGTGAAAGGGTCGTTGGACATTTACTATAATGCACATGTAAATACTAGGAGTATTTCCCAAGCATAACCTTTGACATCGCCAGGCACCAATAGTTGTTACAGACCATTCACTCATGAGCAGATAAAATTTACAATGCTGAAAAGCAGCCAAGGATTTTTGTAAATTTGTTTAAATTTGTCCTTAACTGCATAACATTTCATGTTGTGCATTGGTTTCACTGTGAGTTCTCTCGCATACTTATAAATATTTCAGTTTGGAAATCTCTGTTTTTGTAGTTCAACTTTTGCAAAACAAGTTTGGCAGTTTGTCAAGATTTTGATTATGATAAGCAATGCTTTTTTTATCCTTTTATTCTGCAGGTTGTATTACTTTAATTCATTGTTCAGTATAAGTGGTTCCATACAGCCATTGAAAACTAACCCTTTGACACTGATGATACCAGCCTTTGTGTGACTGTTCAGAGCCAACTTCCAGTCCTCTTCCGACCCTTTGATAGCATACTGGGTAAGGTCATGGTCAGTCAAGATAGCCTTTTCTTGTTTCTGCTTCTCTTTCACCTTGTCTGATGCCTCTTTCTAAGAACAGATTTAATACAGTGAAATTATGCAGATATTTTATTCTCTTGCATATTCCTACCACTACATCTTTCAGTTCAATTAACTCTTTCATTAGACCCATGGATCTCGCATCTACAATCAGATCCTTGTCCAGTGCCTTTAATAAAACAATTAACATACCAACAAAAAGCTTTCAAACAGACTGGATCCTGGGAAATTCAAGAACTTCTTAAGGCAAAGATGTTTTGCTGGATAAAGACATTCATCAATTCATATTTTTAAATTCTTCAGACCAGTGTACCCACCAGATCTTCTTCCAATGTTTGGCCTACTGGATTCATCTGGACATCCTTCTCTTCTGCCATGAGACTTTCTATATCAGCTTCCACAATCTCAGTAAAAAACTGAAAACGATATCACACGTAACAAAATAAAATTCTAAGATATTTTAGAACGTTTTTTTTAATTCAGTTACTTTCAGGCTGCTCCATTCTATTTACCTTCCTTCTTACCCTCCCTCCTGATAGCAACCAACCCAGATCCATGTCCTGCCTTACCCTCCCTCCTGATACCAACCAACCCAGATCCATGTCCTGCCTTACCTTCCCTCCTGATAGCAACCAACCCAGATCCATGTCCTGCCTTACCCTCCCTCCTGATACCAACCCAGATCCATGTCCTGACTTACCCTCCCTCCTGATACCAACCAAGCCATGTGCTACCTTACCCTCACTCCTGACACCAACCAACCCAGATCCATGTCCTGACTTACCCTCCCTCCTGATACCAACCAATCTATGTGCTACCTTACCCTCCCTCCTGATACCAACCAACCCAGATGCTGCCTTACCCTCACTCCTGATACCAACCAACCCAGATCCATGTCCTGACTTACCCTCCCTCCTGATACAAACCAAGCCATGTGCTACCTTACCCTCCCTCCTGATACCAACCAACCCAGATACATGTCCTACCTTACCCTCAATCTTGATACAAACCAACCCAGATCCATGTCCTGCCTTACCCTTCCTCCTGATGCCAACAAACCCAGATCCATGTGCTGCCTTACCCTCCCTCCTGATGCCAACAAACCCAGATCCATGTCCTGCCTTACCATCCCTCCTGATACCAACCAACCCAGATCCATGTCCTGACTTACTTTCCCTCCTGATACCAACCAAGCCATGTGCTACCTTACCCTCCCTCCTGATACCAACCAACCCAGATTCATGTCCTGACTTACCCTCAATCCTGATACAAACCAACCCAGATCCATGTCCTGCCTTACCCTCCCTCCTGATACCACCCAAGCCATGTGCTGCCTTACCCTCACTCCTGATACCAACAAACCCAGATCCATGTCCTGCCTTACCCTCCATCCTGATACCAACAAACACAGATCCATGTCCTGCCTTACCCTCCCTCCTGATACCAACCAACACAGATCCATGTCCTGACTTACCCTCCCTCCTGATACCACCCAAGCCATGTGCTGCCTTACCCTCCCTCCTGATGCCAACAAACCCAGATCCATGTCCTGCCTTACCCTCCCTCCTGATACCAACCCAGATCCATGTCCTGACTTACCCTCCCTCCTGATACCAAACAAGCCATGTGCTACCTTACCCTCACTCCTGATACCAACCAACCCAGATGCTGCCTTACCCTCACTCCTGATACCAATCAACCCAGATCCATGTCCTGCCTTACCCTCCACTCCTGATACCAACCAACCCAGATGCTGCCTTTACCCTCACTCCTGACACCAACCAACCCAGATCCATGTCCTGATTCTTACCCTCCCTCCTGATACCAACCACCTATGTGCTACCTTACCCTCCCTCCTGATACCAACAAACCCAGATGCTGCCTTTTTACCTCACTCCTGATACCAACCAACCGGTGATCCATGTCCTGACTTACCCTCCCTCCTGATACCAACCAACCCAGATGCTGCCTTACCCTCACTCCTGATACCAACCAACCCAGATCCATGTCCTGACTTACCCTCCCTCCTGATACCAACCAAGCCATGTGCTACCTTACCCTCCCTCCTGATGCCAACAAACCCAGATCCATGTCCTGCCTTACCCTCCATCCTGATACCAACAAACACAGATCCATGTCCTGCCTTACCCTCCCTCCTGATACCAACCAACCCAGATCCATGTCCTGACTTACCCTCCCTCCTGATACCAACCAAGCCATGTGCTACCTTACCCTCCCTCCTGATACCAACCAACCCAGATCCATGTCCTACCTTACCCTCAATCTTGATACAAACCAACCCAGATCCATGTCCTGCCTTACCCTCCCTCCTGATACCACCCAAGCCATGTCCTGCCTTACCCTCCCTCCTGATACCACCCAAGCCATGTGCTGCCTTACCCTCCCTCCTGATGCCAACAAACCCAGATCCATGTCCTGCCTTACCATCCCTCCTGATACCAACCAACCCAGATCCATGTCCTGACTTACTTTCCCTCCTGATACCAACCAAGCCATGTGCTACCTTACCCTCCCTCCTGATACCAACCAACCCAGATTCATGTCCTGACTTACCCTCAATCCTGATACAAACCAACCCAGATCCATGTCCTGCCTTACCTCCCTCCTGATACCACCTGCCATGTGCTGCCTTACCCTCCCTCCTGATGCCAACAAAAACCCAGATCCATGTCCTGCATTACACCTCCATCCTGATACCAACAAACACAGATCCATGTCCTGCCTTACCCTCCCTCCTGATACCAACCAACACAGATCCATGTCCTGCCTTTTACCCTCCCTCCTGATGCCAACAAACCCAGATCCATGTCCTGCCTTTTACCCTCCTCCTCTCTGATACCACCCAAGCCATGTGCTGCCTTACCCTCCCTCCTGATACCAACAAACCCAGATCCATGTCCTGCCTTACCCTCCATCCTGATACCAACAAACACAGATCCATGTCCTGCCTTTTACTCCTCCCTCCTGATACCAACCAACCCAGATCCATGTCCTGACTTCTACCTCCCTCCTGATACCAAACCAACCCAGATCCATGTCCTGCCTTTTACCCTCCCTCCTGATACCAACCAAGCCATGTGCTGCCTTTTACCTTCCCTCCTGATACCAACCAACACAGATCCATGTCCTGATTCTACCCTCCCTCCTGATACCAACCAACCCAGATTCATGTCCTACCTTACCCTCACCCTCAATCTTGATACAAACCAACCCAGATCCATGTCCTGCCTTGTCCTGACTCCCCTCCCTCCTGATACCACCCAAGCCATGTGCTACCTTACCCCTCCTCCTGATGCCAACAAACCCAGATCCATGTCCTGCCTTACCCCCACTCCTGATACCAACAAACCCAGATCACTCCTGATACCAACAAACCCAGATCCATGTCCTGATTCTTTCTCCTCCTGATACCAACCAAGCCATGTGCTGCCTGCCTTACCCCTCCCTCCTGATACCAACCAACCCAGATTCATGTCCTGACTTACCCTCAATCCTGATACAAACCAACCCAGATCCATGTCCTGCCTTTTACCTCCCTCCTGATACCACCAACCAAGCCATGTGCTGCCACTACCCTCCCTCCTGATACCAACACCAACCCAGCTCCATGTCCTGCCTTTTACCCTCCCTCCTGATGCCAATGCCAACAAACCCAGATCCATGTCCTGCCTTTTACCCTCCATCCTGATACCAACAAACACAGATCCATGTCCTGCCTTTACTCTCCCTCCTGATACCAACCAACCCAGATACATGTCCTGACTTACTCCTCCCTCCTGATACCAACCAAGCCATGTCCTGCCTTGCCTTACCCTCCCTCCTGATACCACCCAAGCCATGTGCTGCCTTTTACCCTCCCTCCTGATGCCAACAAACCCAGATCCATGTCCTGCCTTACCCTCCCTCCTGATACCAACCCAACCCCTGAGATCCATGTCTGCCTGACTTGGATACCAACCAACCCAGATTTTCCTCCTCCTGATACCAACCAAGCCATGTGCCTACCCCTTACCCTCCCTCCTGATACCCAACCAACCCAGATTCATGTCCTGATTTACCCTCAATCCTGATACAAACCAACCCAGATCCATGTCCTGCCTTACTCCTCCCTCCTGATACCACCCAAGCCATGTGCTGCCTCCCTCCTCCCTCCTGATGCCAACAAACCCAGATCCATGTCCTGCATTACCTCCATCCTGATACCAACAAACACAGATCCATGTCCTGCCTTTTACCCTCCTCCCTCCTGATACCAACCAACACAGATCCATGTCCTGCCTTACCCCTCCCTCCTGATGCCAACAAACCCAGATCCATGTCCTGCCTTACCCTCCCCTCCTGATACCACCCAAGCCATGTGCTGCCTTTTACCCTCCCTCCTGATACCAACCAAACCCAGATCCATGTCCTGCCTTACCCTCCCTCCTGATGCCAACAAACCCAGATCCATGTCCTGCCTTTACCCTCCCTCCTGATACCACCCAAGCCATGTGCTACCTTACCCTCCCTCCTGATACCAACCAACCCCAGATCCATGTCCTGGAATTCTTACCCCTCAATCCTGATACCAAAACCAACCCAGATCCATGTCCTGCCTTGTACCCTCCCTCCTGATACCACACCAAGCCATGTCCTGCCTTTACCCTCCCTCCTGATACCACCCAAGCCATGTGCTGCCTTACCCTCCCTCCTGATGCCAACAAACCCAGATCCATGTCCTGCCTTACCATCCCTCCTGATACCAACCAACCCAGATCCATGTCCTGACTTACTTTCCCTCCTGATACCAACCAAGCCATGTGCTACCTTACCCTCCCTCCTGATACCAACCAACCCAGATTCATGTCCTGACTTACCCTCAATCCTGATACAAACCAACCCAGATCCATGTCCTGCCTTACCCTCCCTCCTGATACCACCCAAGCCATGTGCTGCCTTACCCTCCCTCCTGATGCCAACAAACCCAGATCCATGTCCTGCATTACCCTCCATCCTGATACCAACAAACACAGATCCATGTCCTGCCTTACCCTCCCTCCTGATACCAACCAACACAGATCCATGTCCTGCCTTACCCTCCCTCCTGATGCCAACAAACCCAGATCCATGTCCTGCCTTACCCTCCCTCCTGATACCACCCAAGCCATGTGCTGCCTTACTCCTCCCTCCTGATACCAACAAACCCAGATCCATGTCCTGCCTTTTACCTCCATCCTGATACCAACAAACACAGATCCATGTCCTGCCTTACCCTCCTCCTGATACCAACCAACCCAGATCCGTCAGATCCATGTCCTGACTTACCTCCCCTCCTGATACCAACCAACCCAGATCCATGTCCTGCCTTTTACTCCTCCCTCCTGATACCAACCAAGCCATGTGCTGCCTTCCTGAC